AGGGAGGAAGGGAAACAGATAAAGATCCATGCACCAGCATGCCTTACTTCTCTGCCACACAGACCATGTCGAAGAGGCACGCGGGGCATTTCCCCAGTCACTCCCTGCCTGTTTTGGAACTTGGCATGTATCCCTCTCCCCCTGGCTTGTGCTCAGTAGCCTGCCGCACACCCAGAAAGCAGGGCAGACTGAGGCGCCTTCCCTCAGCTGGGCGCCTCTCCTCTCTTCTCACCCCCACCCTGCTTCTCCAGGTCACAGGTCTGAACTTTTCACACCAAGTACCATGGCCCTGCCCAACAACCCACAGGAGGCACTGCTTTGGGCCTTGAGGGACCTTGACAAAAATAGCTTCAAGATATTAAAGTTCCACTTACGGGACAAACCCCTGCCTGGGGGCCAAGGGCTGGCCCGAGGGGAGCTGGAGGGCCTGAATGAGGTGGACCTGGCTTCTCGGCTGATCTCGATGTACGGAGCACTGGAGGCAGTGAAAGTGGTGTGCGAGGTGCTGAAGGTCATGAACCTGTTAGAACTTGTGGACCGGCTCAGCCACATCTGTCTAAATGGTAAGTACAGCAGGGGACAAAGGGAGGTCAGGGTGGCACTGGGATTCCCCCTCCCCATGACATTTCCAAAACTCCCAGAGCCTGTAACTTATGCCTTCTTTCACTCTTGCCCTATGCCCATGCCTGGGAGCCCCCATACCTGAAGGTCCTAGTGGCCCTAATGCTCTCCAGCTGAAGACTCTGAAGACTGAGCTGAGGGTGGGGTTTATTTAGAGAAAGATTAAAGTATCTTATGGCCACTATCTCCAGTTGTAGTACCAGAGAAGGGGAGGGTATGGAGAAGGGGCTTGGAAATGGGGGATCGGAGCGTGGGGTCAGACCTCTCCTGGCTGATTCTCAGAGAGGACAGCCTGCTTCTGTGCCCTGCTCTGCCAAGGAACTGGTGGACTGACGGTGCCCTGGAGAGTGGGGTGGGCATGGAGCCCAAGTGGCCCCTGTCCCTTTTCATGGGTGCTGAAGAGGAGGGAGTGCCTTTTGGTGCCTGTGCTCCCTCCACAGGCTCCTTTCATGCTTGAAAGCTCCTCTAACCCAGAGATGGGAGGTTCCATAGACTCAGAGTCATGGCTCCTGCTCGGGAGCTGGTTTGTCTGCAGCAGCTGGCCTGACCTTGACCTAGAACAGTCTCCTGTGGCTTCACCATCCCGCGTCTTCCCTTCCCTTTGTCCTCTCTGTTCCCACCATTTCAGATGCACACTCAGTCACACACACAGAGGCTTTTGCACATACACATATCCTTCAAACACATACTTGCCGATGCAACTGATGTGCCATCCCCGCCTGAACACACACAAGCTTCTGTAAGCTCGCGCCCACGAGCACGCGTGGATACAAGCATTCACTCCTTCCCACAGATATTCACACACTGGACACAGCTTGCACACTTACACAGATGTGCACACGAACACCACACATGCGTATGCACACATGTGCACACATACCTATGCACATTGGTGGATATAACCTTCGTGGAGATACAAGTTACAGAGCACAGAAGATGAGAGAGTAAAGAACAGAGTCCAGAGTTCAAAGGGCCATTTTGTCTTTTTTTATTCCCATCTCACCACCTAATACACCATGTGTCTGGCTCAGATTACAGAGAAATATACCGGGAGTATGTGCGCTGCCTGGAGGAGAGGCAAGAGGAGGGAGTTGGCCACAGCTACAACGAGCTGCTCCTGGTGGCCAAGCCCGGCTCGGGGAGCCCCATTCCGGAGCAGGACCTGGACTCGGTCACAGTGGAGGCTCTCTTTGATTCAGGGGAAAAGCCTGCCAAACACCCGCCCATAGTGGTGCTCCAGGGATCCGCTGGTACCGGGAAGACGACACTGACAAGAAAAATGCTGCTGGACTGGGCCACTGGCACCCTGTACGCAGGCCGGTTTGATTATGTCTTTTACGTGAGCTGCAGAGAAGTGGTCCTGCTGCCGGAGGGCACGCTGGACCAGCTCCTCATGTGGTGCTGCGGGGACAGTAAAGCACCTGTCGCTGAGATTAGGAGGCAGCCAGAGAGGCTCCTGCTCATCCTGGATGGCTACGACGAGCTGCAGAGGCCCTTCGCCGGGAGGCTGCAGAGGCCGGGGCCCAGCCCCGCCGAGGACGTGCTGCGCCGCCTGCTCAGGAGAGAGGCGCTTCCCGCCTGCTCGCTTCTGGTGACCACGCGGCCCGTGGCCCTGCGGAGCCTGCAGTCCTTGCTGAAACGACCGCGCCATGTCCACGTCCTGGGCTTCTCCGAGGAGGAGAGGGAGAGGTATTTGAACTCCTATTTCCCAGATGAGGAACAAGCCCAAAAGGCCATTGCCTTTGTAAAAGGAAATGAGGTTCTCAACAAAGCGTGCCAGGTCCCGGGCATTTGCTGGGTGGTCTGCTCCTGGCTGAAGGGGCAGATGGAGCGAGGCGGAGAGGTCTCGGAGACTCCCAGCAACGGCACTGACATCTTCATGGCCTATGTGTCCACCTTCCTGCCACCCAGCGACAGCGAGGGCTGCTCCGAGCTCACCCGAGACAAGGTCCTGAGGGGGCTGTGCTCCTTGGCAGCCGAGGGGATCCAGCGCCAGAGGTTCCTGTTTGAAGAAGCTGACCTCAGGAAGCACAGTTTAGACGGGCCCAGCCTTGCGGCTTTCCTGAGCAGCCACGATTACCAAGAGGGACTTGACATCAAGAAGTTCTACAGCTTCCGCCACATCAGCTTCCAGGAGTTTTTTCATGCTATGTCCTACCTGGTGAAAGAAGACCAGAGCCAGCTCGGGGAGGAGTCCCTCAGAGAACTGAACAGGCTGCTGGATGACAGGGAGCAGGCGGGGGGCGAGGAGATGACCCTCAGCATGCAGTTTTTATTGGACATATCGAAAAAAGAGAGCTCCTCCAATCTGGAGCTAACGTTCTGCTTCAAAATTTCCCCCTCGATAAAGCAGGATCTGAAGAATTTCAAAGAGCAGATGAGCTCTCTAAAGCATAACAGGACCTGGGATTTGGAATTGTCCCTGTACGAGTCTAAGATGAAGAGTCTGCTAAGGAGTGTTCAGATAAGCAACGTAGGGCTTAAGATGGAACATTCAAATGAAAAGAAATCCCGTAGCAGCACCTCATTTTCTGTCAAAACCCACTTGAGTAATGCAGGGAGAGAGGAGCAAAAATGTCTAACTATGGACGAAGGGAACGCAGCAGGGACGCAGAAGCAGGCTCCTAATGGGAAAGGCAGAGGGAAGAGTAACTAGAGGCAAGGAGGGTGGAAGCGGGACAGGAAGCACAGAAATGGGGACACGAGAGCTGACGGTGGGGTGGAGAGACAGACCACGGGGGAGGACAGTGGAAAGCAATGCAGAGCTGTGAGGTGAGATTAATGGGCACACGGCGTGGAAGGACAGAGGAGCAGAGAGAAAAGAGAAGTAGGTAGAGGCGCAGAAGACTTGGAACGTAGGGCGTGGGGAAAAGCCATGTGGAATGAGCCCTTAAGAACAAGCACGTGTGTCAGCAATGACTCCAGCTCAGCTATTTAGCACTGCTTTCCCCCAAGGCTCTTTGTAACTGCCCCAAATGTAGTCTTATCATAGTCTGACATTTGACTCTTTCCTATAAAATAAACTCCTTAATATCATAAAGTGTGTGTTGTGCTCACTCTGTAAGATTGGATAACAAGAGGCAAACCAATGTTAACATTTAAAGGAAATATTGGCCCAGCTGGGCGTGGCTCAGCCGTTGAGCGTCGACCTAGGATCCAGGTGATCAGGGTTCGATTCCCAGCCAGGGCACATGCCCAGGTTGCGGGCTGCAGCCGATCAATGACTCTCTCATCATTGATGTTTCTGTCTCTCTCTCCTTTCTCTTTCCTCTCTCTGAAATCAATAAAGATATATTATAAAAAAAAAAAAAAAAAAAGGAAATATTGTACTGTAGCAAACAGAATGGCCCTTTGACTCTGTATTTGTGACCGACTGCTGCTTAAATAAGTAGTACCTTCCCATCTTTCTAGAAACTTCTAGAATTTCCATGTTGGAAATGAGCCATGGCTTGTCACAGACCTTTGGTCTTAGAAGCTATTCTGTGACTTGACTTACCTCTGTGCTAAGAACATGCCGCTGTTGTCTCCAGCTGTATCATGAACTGGCTTCTTTTTTGGAAAGACCAGTCATTTCCAAGCACTAACTCATAATCTTTTTTTCTGCGTTGGTTCCCTCTGTACAGAAAAGAAGAATTATAGACATAGATGTGGTCAGGTCCCAACCCTCATTTCATAGGTGAGGAAACTGAAGTTCAGTCAGGAGCCCCATTCATTTCTGGAGTTTGTAGACGCCCTCAAAGCCCCTGTACAGGCGCCATGAACCTACCCCCACCCCGGCCTGCTGCTGGCTCCATGCAGCTGAGAGCACTGATGCTGCCTCAGACTCTCGGTGCCCCACAGAAAGTTACAGACGCTTCTCACCCATTTTTATTGCTGTCATGACTCTTCCTAAGTTGATTCCACGTACACCAATTCCAGCAATCCGCTGGATGTGCCCAGACATCTGAATCCAAGGGAACTCAGCCCTGAGTGGTCAGCTTTGTACAGCATGACATCAATTATTATTAACTCTTCCTCTCACAGGAAGCTTGGTGGCTCTACATTTGGTAATTATATACATAGCATGTTGAACACATAGATTGCATGTGTATACAGAATGTGTAAGAAACCGTGTGTGTGCAGTTTGTACTGGATTACTGAAGAGGCTGGTTGGCACCTACTGGGCTGGGCTGTGTTGACCCCTAAAGGGTTTAGATGTTCTCAGCAGGCCAGCTCCTGAATGTCATAGAGAATTTGGGAACAATGAAACAGGTGCCCAGCCACATTGCTGGACTACCATGTGGCCAAGGAGGTCTGTTTTAATAAAACATGGTTCTAACATCCAGTTGAGGTTTAAACAGGTTATTTCACTTAGGATTCACATTCAGTTCAAACTAGCTTGAGCAAAACTTAAATGACTGACTGTATTCATTTAAATAAAAAAACTGACTTGCAGTTTTACGTATGTCTTGCTCACGCTAACAATATTGTCAAGGCTCTCACTCTCTCTCCTCCCTGTCCTTTTTATAGTTGCCTTTGGCTCTTATTTAAGGAAGTCACTTTTACCTGTCAGAGAAGATGGCCATAGGGACTTCAGCTTAAATCGCCCTTACAGTCAACGATCCCAAAGGAAGAGAAGTGTTTACTAACAACTGTCCCAGGGAAATTGGGGGAGGGTTCTGACTTCACCCTGGGTAGGCACAGAGCCTTGAACAATTCCTGTGGTCTGGAAAATAAATTCTGATTGTCTAGACCTGAGTTTCATGGCCTAGGTCACTCTGCCATACCCCTAGGGCTGACTAAGAAAGGTCAACACCTCCAAAAGTGCATGGAATGGGAGAGTGGCTCCCCACAGGAAAGGATTTTGAGCAGAAAAAAAAAGTCACACAGCTATGTACACAGAGTGTGTCTGATGGATTGGGGTTCCCTGAGGGGGCTGAGTAAAAGGGAGTGATAATGAGGCCCCTCTGTGTAGGAGTCTGGAAGGATGGGTGCAACCAAGCTACCAGGCTTGGTGGTTAGAGGGAGTAATTCCAGGAGCAGAGAGAGCTGGGCCTACCGGTTCCTTACTTAGCCACCCTCTGGGGGGTGAGAGGTATGAACCATGGGAAAGAGAAGTCTGTGGCCAAAAGGAAGGAGCTCCATGCCTATGGGATAGCTGCGTGAACCCTTTCTGAAAGAGTGGGGTTTGAGAGTGGCAGGGAGGAAGGGATCAGACAAAATACAAGATGCCCAGACAAATTTGAATTTCAGGCAAACAATAATATTTTTGCAGGAGACATACTTAAACCAAAATTACTTGTTGTTTATCTGAAATTTAAGTTTCATGACAGCCCCCCCCCCCTTAGTGTTTCTATATTTCTACTAGAAAATAAAACATTTTGGTAAGGACACCTAGGCTTTCCACTCAGTAACTTCAATCTACTTGCCTCCACGTGCTTTCTGTCAATGCAGAAACTGTCTACCCCATGCAATCAGACCTTCCGTCTAGATCACCCTGCCTTTGCTCTCCCCTCACCCCTTTCTCCCTTCTTCTCTCTGCCTGCTTACTAACTTTCACCCAGCCTCCGCTTTCATTTCCTAAGGGGGAGGCCGTGGTGGAGTTGAGTCTCTTGAGCTGTTTATTCCCTGGAGAAATCTGAAAAAGTATTGCTCCACGTTTGTGCATCGAGCTTTCTTAGGCCCATGTAGGAGAGTCTGCATCAATTGAGCATAAATTCTCCGGAGAAGGATCCTCCCAGGGCAACAAGTCAAAGCCATATAATGTCATAAAATCAGTCCACTGAATTACCGAGTTGTATTTATGGGAGAGGTATGGTTTTGTTTTATTTTGTTTTTTAACTAAAGAGGTGAAATCTGATTAATTGGGATGAAAATCAGAGGCAGTCAGTAGGTCAGGTCCTGCTTATGTAACTATTACTGGGTTTACCATTTAGAGTTCTTCTCACTGATAACTGGGCATGCCCATCAAGTGAGAGCTCAGTGCTCAGGTAAGAATGTCAATGACTCTGCCTTTCATGTTCATATATCCAATCATTTGGTTAATGATTAGAGCTTAGAGGTGGTCTGCTTGCATGAATCATCAATTCACAGAGCTTTGTAGCTGGGGTGGGAGGTGCTCAGAAATGAATCTGGTCATGCAGAAAGGTGACACCCAGAAAAGGGAGTGATTTGCCCAAAGTTACACAGAGAGTTGACACTGGAGCCAGAGCGCATGCCAGTGGATTAGGTCGGCAAAGGGCAGTTCCCGTTAAAGGGAGAAGGCAGCGCGTTCAGGTTCAGTTGTTCTTAATCACTCACGAAGGCAGCGATTTAGCTTGGTTCCATGACTTTCTCAGCCCCCGGAAGCCTGTCTGTTTTTAACAGGATGCTCTAAGTTATCTTACTTTTATAATTTAATTTGTATATACTTGGAATTCAATAGATACTTTTGTCTATTAGAAATGGTACTTAAATGTTTTTTTCCTGCAGTCTACTTTACTAATTTTAGAAGACTTTTTGACATCTAAAATATAATTATTAAAGTTAATACAGACATTTAATTTTAACATATCACTATGGTCCAACTCGGTAAATCAACTTGCCTTTTCCTCTCAGCTAATGCTGAGCTCAAGACAACGTACCCTGTCTTCAGCCTGCTTGTCCTTCTGTCCTGGCTTCCTCACGTCCCACACTGAAGTCCTCCTGGATGTCAGGCATCACACCAAGACCAGCAGGCCCCTGTTCTAGTACTCAGGTGTCACTGAGCAAGTCAGCCTTCTTCCTGTGCCTTCCTCTCTCCTCTTCCTGGCTTTTCTACCTGCGACATCCTGCGATTATGGCCGTTCACTCTCCCTCTCCATTCAGATGTAAGTTTTCCTCTGTAAACTTCTACAGCACTTGTTCCCACTCTGGCTTCCCTTAAATGCCAGCCTGAGAAGTGGACATTTTATTTCACGGGTAAGAGGAGACCCTGAAGGTTCTGGGAGAGGGGATGATAATATTTTGGGAGAGGTATGAGGGATGGATTGGAGAAGTTACAAAATGTGGAGAAGCCAGTTAGGAGACCATTTAGTAATGGGGGGAGGCTGGTGGAGAAAAGGAGGCAGAGAGCTGGAGTGGTCAGTGGGGACGAACCTGCTACGGCCAAAGGGACTCCAGATCCTTGGGCCTGACAGTGATAGGATGCTGGGGACAGGGTGGAGTTGGTCTGGGTGACTGGGGAGGTAAAGGGGGAGAAGTGAGATGCTCTGCTCAGAGAGGGACTCTGGAAGGGCAGCTGGACTGGGAGATAGAGGGTCAGCTCTGCTTGGGATTGGCTGGCCCACAGGACTCAAGCAACATGCATGCCTCCTATGTGCCCACCCACTATTCCAGGGACCCTTCAGCCTGGCTGTCATATGAATGGAAGGGAANGGCAACATGCATGCCTTCTACGTGCCCACCCACTATTCCAGGGACCCATCAGCCTGGCTGTCATATGAATGGAAGGGAAACCCTGTAGCTTGAAGATTTCTATGAACAAATCAGACAAACACCCATGTCAGAGCCAGAAGGGATGCCCAGGGTTATTTTCCTGTTTCCAACAACACAGGGGAGCCTGAATGTGGGGAGAGGCAGACATTCATATTGGGGTTGGTGGCAGAGTTAGGAAGAGAGCCCAATTCAATGGTATTTCCAATCCCACAAGGGGCCTCAAAATTCTACAAAGTCATGGGTTAATTCTGGGGCTATTTCAGTTGGTGATGATTGTTATGGAAAAAATAAACCAGGGAGATGGGAGTCAGAAAATGCTGGGGTAGGGGTTGCTATTTTATGCTGTGTGGCCAGGGAAGACCTCTCTGTTGAGTTTATGGCTCAAATGTATCTCTGAGAGTACACAGGCATCCATAAGGCAGATGCTCAACCAGTGTTTTACTGAATTATTAATGGTTAAATAAACTTCCGAGGGGGGTAAAAGGGAGACTGTTTAAATGACAGGGTCAGAATGACCAAAAATGGTCTTTTCTTTAGCCCTGAAAGCCATTTTATGGTCACAAAAATGAGCCATGGAGAACTGACCTCTAAAATTTCTCATTCAGGCAAATTTCAAAAAATTCATCAAATCTGCTCTAGCCAGAAATCAGTGTGCTTGAAGCAATCTACTGATGTTCATCGAGAAAAGTGCACCTAAAGTTTACCCCTTTGAGTGTTTCCGTATCTGTTTAGGCGTCCTATTGATATATTTCATTTTGACAAAGTAATATAAATACATTTTACATTTTGGCGCTTATCATAAACATTCATAAAAAATTTGTTTTAATTTAATTTTGAATTAGGATTTTTTTCAGGACTTTTTGCTATAGGTTTATTTAAAAATTGTTATATAAATATACAATTGAAAAGCACAGAGATGTACACATCACTGTGATGGACAATGGGTTCTAAATAATATAACGTCTATGTAAGTTTTAGGAACAGGATTAATTGTTAACCTAACAAAAAAGGTGCCAGAAAATATCTGCTGTTATTACTATTTTTTTGCAGTTTTATAACTTCATTTGACAATCGGCGGTTTTTTCTCTTCCACATTAACTGCTTGTAGATCTTTGAAAGTGATGACAGGTACAAGGGAACCAACATAGAGAAGCTTGTCTGGTGACTCTTCATCTTCGTTACGTTTTCTGGACAACGGCCCCCGGGTGCGGTGGGGGACACTCCTTATTCCTGTGACCCACACGGCTTTGTGGAGCTGGGTCGGTGCGCACATCTGGAGTCCCATGTCCTTCAGGGCAAATCTCTGGATCTCCGTGAGTGCCCGAGGGCATACTTCCTGACACCACCCCTGGGTGCCTTGTGAACGTTGATGGCCTGTTCCCTGGTCACCTCGGTGACGGCAGAACGGCCCTTCTTCTTCTCACCCCCTTCTTTGTGGGAGCCATTCTGCTGGGCCCAAGTTAGAAAGCCATTTGCAGTTATTCTGTACTTTTAAAACAAAATTTCTGAGCCGAAATTCTCCACTTCTTCATTTGTATATTAGAGGGTTCATATTGGCCATTCTCAAAATTGCCAACCTGAAGATCTGTCAAAATGAGCTCATCATTTCATCTCCTGCCAAGAGTTTCAGGCTTGCACTCTCAGCTATTGCATGGTGACTTCATAATTAACAGGCGATGTCGATAAAAACAATATACCCTCCCCTACCAAAATGAAACGGCAAAATAAGAGCTCTGTGGTTGAATTCACCCTCTTGGGCTTTTCAAACTTTCCTGAACTCCAAGAGCAGCTCTTTGGGGTTTTCTTGATTATTTATCTGGCGACCCTGATGGGAAATGTCATTATCATTGTCCTCATCTCCCTGGAACAGAGCCTCCACGTTCCCATGTACCTGTTCCTCCTGAACCTGTCTGTGGTGGAAGTGAGTTTCAGTGCGGTCATCATGCCGCAAATGCTGTTGGTTCTCTCCACTGAGAAAACGACAATTACTTTTTCAGGTTGCTTTGCACAGATGTATTTCCTTCTTCTTTTTGGTGGGACGGAATGCTTNGCAAATGCTGCTGGTTCTCTCCACTGAGAAAACGACAATTACTTTTTCAGGCTGCTTTGCACAGATGTATTTCCTTCTTCTTTTTGGTGGGACGGAATGCTTCCTCCTGGGAGCCATGGCTTATGACAGATTTGTTGCAATCTGCCATCCTCTGAGCTACCCAATGATTATGAACAAAAGGGTTTTCATGAAATTGGTCATCTTCTCATGGGTCTCAGGGATCATGGTGGCTACCGTGCAGGCTACATGGGTTTTTAGTTTTCCCTTTTGTGGCCCCAGTGAAATCAATCACCTCTTCTGTGAAACTCCCCCAGTGCTAGAGCTTGCATGTGCTGACACCTTCTTGTTTGAAGTCTATGCATTCGCTGGCACCGTTTTGATTGTCATGGTTCCTTTCGTGTTGATTCTCTCGTCTTACGTTCGCATTCTCTTTGCCATCCTGAAGATGCCATCGACCGCCGGGAGGCAAAAGGCCTTTTCCACCTGTGCCTCCCACCTCACATCTGTGACCCTCTTCTATGGAACAGCCAGTATGACTTATTTACAGCCCAAATCTGGCTACTCCCCAGAGACCAAGAAACTGATGCCACTGTCTTACTCACTCCTGACGCCTCTGCTGAATCCACTGATCTACAGCTTGCGCAACAGTGAGATGAAAAGAGCTTTGATGAAGTTATGGCGAAGAAAAGTAGGTTTGCACACATTCTGACCGGGCTGGGAAGCCACGTGATATCTGTCATCGCTCGACTGAACTCTATTTTAATAAATGGCCAAACACTGCATTTTTGGGTATGAATATGTGTAATAAGTTCCATAATATATTAGGGCTCCCTCCCTAATATATTAATAGTGTACTGCTGTCATTCATTTTTATACAGATCTGTAAGTTTTCATAATATATAACAATTTATTTATCAATTCCTCTGTTATGATCATCAGGTCATTACTGAATTATTGTCACTTAGATGAAGCTTCAATAAACACCTAGTTTCACATGCTCTCACGTACTGATGTTTTATTTCTCAAAGTTGATAGTTTGATAGATTCCTCAAAGTTGGCCTGATGGGATGGAGTATACGTGTTTACAAATTTTAACAGCTGTTGTAGAATTACTTTTCAAAATGATTGTAACTCCTTCAGATGGACCCGAAGGCCCACTCTGCTGCACTAACCTGGTTAAGTTTCAAGAGACCAACAGATAGATGAGATTTTTATTTCTGGAGTGAAAGCCTGTCCCATGAATGGCTAAACCAAGTACAGTTATTTTGGTGAGACCAAACTGGTTCTACTCCCTGGACTTACACAGATTACTATCCAAACCGGAATTTCTCTTGGTATTTTTCCAGATATTCATCAGAATGTTGGTGGCCAGAGAACTACTTGGGAGCTCCCCTGAAGTCTCACTCGGTAGTTTTAGAATCTTTTTCAGTTAGAGGCCACTCTTTGTTGTAGAGGCTTCCGTTAAAGTTCCCTTTGAAGGCCCCAAGTGCTTCTGACACATTGTTTGTAAACATTGGGTGATTCATTTTTCTTTTATTGTGGGAAACTCAGTAGTTACCTATTTGTGCATATTTTCTATGATCCCTGAGTCACATCATCAACTAGCACATGGAGAGAAAGGAGTTATAATTTCTCACTTAGCAAAATCTGAAACATTTAATGTTTGCCTCCTAGTTCAATGTTGCTATTCAAAAACAGAGAGGGGCCCTTTATTGAACCTATAACACATGAGCTCCTACTGCTTAGTTTCTGCTCCCGGATGATGATAAAGGGGTAAAACACTATTTCCATTGTTGTTCAGCTGTGGGAAAAACAATTTTTTAATTACTACTGCCTCTGCCAAAACTGAGAAGTAAAGATGCAAAACTGATTGGATTTTCACAAAAGGAAATGTTGTCATCAAATGGTTGAAACCAGTTTGAGTAATATTTGAATGTTGTATAACCTTTTCAGTGGGGCATTAAATAGGCATTTGGAAGTCCTTTAATCAGATTCTGTCTCTTGGTGTCCTGAAATTTCCTTCTCGTAGCCCTTAGAATTAGAGGGTTCAATTAAACAAAAGAAAAATCTTCCAAAGCCTAAACCCCAAGACAAATAACTTCATTTTGATTTTTGTTCTTTGTTTCATTTGTTCATTCATTGATTAAACATGCTTTTGTTAGGGGTGACTTAATGGGACTGTCCCTGGGGAAAGACAGCCTCTGTTCTTGAGGGATTAGAAGTTTACGGGAAGATCACTGATTTTGGGCGGTCACAGAAGCCAGCCATGCCATACCTACGTCTCCACCCCAGGTGAGGAATGAAGTTGAACGGGCAAGGTCCAGGGTTTCGCTACATAGGTGATGATTGCCAAGTCTCAGTGATTCTCCATGTAGGTATGAGTTTCACAAAAACAACCTGTCCAAAAGGACCCTGTTATGATTCTACTCTGAACAGCAGCAACACGCTTTCCTGGCTTTGAAGTTTCGACACCAAGATTTCCAACCATAATCAACGTGAACAAGAAAAAAGTGAATTTTAAAATGTAAAACTTATGTCTCCTCTTGCTTAAAGTGTGTCAAAACATGCCATTTTCTCTCCATCTGATATGTTTTTCACTCCATTTCTTAGCTGATTAATTCTTTAAAAATTTTTTAAAAATTGAATTTATTGGGGTGACATTGGCTCACATAACCATACAGGTTTCAAATATACAGCTCAACAAAACATCACCTGCACATTGCATTGTGCTTTCTTTAGACCTTAATGTGTTCTTTCCTTGAGGCAACCATTCTTGACTCCCCCAAACCCCAGCTTCTTTTCCCAAATTATTCTCCCTCTGAACACTCTGTCCTTTCTTCATAGCCCTTATTAAATTTTCTTTCTTGTAGCAGTTGCTTGGCTGATATTTGACAGCTCCAGGCTGCTTTATGATGTAGTCCCTTTTTTCCTTACCAGGCCCAGTGTGTCCCTGGGTGGGTTTTATTGTGACTTAACCCTGTGTATAGGCCTGGTGACCAGGTATCTTTTACATAGTTTTCCTGCAGTTACTGGGAGGGATTGGCTACTTCTGTAGTTTCAGAAGGTTCAGAGATGTCTTGGGAGTGAAAAATCACTGGAGACATCCATCCAGATTTCCCATCCATGCCTCAAGTCTTTAGATTTTTCCAACTCTGGTTTCAATTTGGCATAACAGAACTTCCTCGATTAAGCACTGAACTATCTTTGAAGTTCAGCCATGCTGATGATTAAACCCTGGATTTGATCTTCAGCTTTCTCCATGCTTGGCCATTGCAAAAGATGAGGGTGCTTGTGAACTACTGAAATGCTCTTTGGCTCCCACACTGTGTTTTCAGTGGTTTGTTGACTGCACTCAGCTTTTTAGTTATCTATCTGCGGTAATCAATGCAATATAGTAACAACTATATAATTCCATTATCCTTTGATTTATCAACCTTCATCACCTCCAAAGTTTGGATGCCCAAGTCCTTGTACTGGCCAGTACATTTCCTGCCACAGTTACATAATTCCAAGTCACCATTCCTGAAAGCTTTTATTGCTAAACTTGGTGGCCTAGTATATAGTCAGACTTTGGAAAATGTTCTGTGTGAGATTAAAAATGATGTGCTTTCTTCCAAGTTTCTGATACAATATGCTCTATATGTGTACTAGACTAAGTTGTATTGTGAATATTTTCTTTATCCTTACTGATCTATTTATTTCACCTATCAATTACTTAAAGAGGCATGTTACAGTTCCCTTGTGATTGATTCAGTCAATAATTGCTAGTTATATTTTGCAGCCAAATTATTGGATACTCACAGGTTTAGAATTGTTGTATTTTCTTGGAGAATTGAACCTTTCTTTTCTCATTATGAAGTAACTCTCTTTGTCTCTCCTAATGTTTGTTGATCCAAAGCATGCTTTTTCTGATAATAGTTACATAAATTTCCTTTTATGTAACTATATTGTTTTGGAATATCTTTTTCTTTTTAACCTTTCCATATCCTTATGACTTAAATGTACCTGTGCCGAGGAGTGCTGTGGAGAAAAAATAAATCAGAATAGTAGCGTTGCAATTGGGGTTCAATTTTAAATAGGTTGATGTGGAAAGATTTTATGGAGAGGGTCCCACTTAGCATTCTTGAGAGCAGTAGTCCATGCTCAGGGAAAAACAAAGGCAGTAGCTGTGATATGAGAACATAGCTGGTGGATCTGAGAAATGGCAGGGAAGCTGCCTGGATGAATAGGAGTGAACAGGGGGTGCGCCAAGGATGAGCCCAGAGGGCCCAGGTGGGGAAACGGATCTTTAATCCATGTTTTTGAGTTTGGCTTCTACACGGAATGGGATAGGGTGCTACTGACATGCTCTGAGCAGAGGAAACGGAGGAAGAGAGAAGTTCGGAGACTATGGCAATTATCCAACTGAGAGAATTAAGCAGGGTGGACCAGAGTGCTAGGTTTTCGAAAGGTGAGAATTTTTAACACTGTATTTTGAAGACAGAGCCACAGATAGGTGATAGGTTTGATGTGGTTTGGGAGGGAAAATGGATTCCAGGATGACTCCTAGGCTTTGGCTTGTGTAACTAGAAGCTTTAAGCTGCTATTACCTGAAATGAGGAATGCAGAGGGCGGGGCAGGTTTCAGGAAAAGATCAGGAGTTCAGTTTTGGACACATTAATAAATAAAGCTGTTTACTTATTTTTAAAATTTACTTATTAGTAGCCTATATTTCATTTTTGACTTCCTGTTAACAGAAGAGATACTTTCAGAATATTGAAAAATTTCCAAGACTTTTAGTTTCTTTTTTCTCTATCTGGTGGTTGTTTTGCAGTTTTATTGCAAAGTATGTTATGTGTATGACCACCAAGTATTTGAATTTATTAATATTTTCTTTCTGACAAATACATAATCAATTTTTATAAATATTGTATAAATGTTTTGGGAAGAAAATAGAGTTAGCAGCATAAAAAGTGTTGGTTCTGTCTTATATTTAGTCTCTCATTATCATCTGTTAAATCAAAATTTTGCTATTAAGATCTTCCTGTTTGTATGTCTTTTTTTTTTTTTTTGGTCTATTTTATCTGTCAATCATTGAGGAAGATGTGTTAAAGTTTCCACATTTTGAATTTTGTTTTATCAATTTAGTACTATTGGCTATGAATTACAGTTTGAGGTTAATAACATTACTTCCTTTTTATCCCTGTTAGCACGTATCTAAAATGTTTCTATACACTTTTCACTGACGTCTGATACACACATAGGAAAGTGTAAAAATCAAGACTCTACATCTTGATGACTTCTCACAAAGTACACATCACCTGCATTCTCATCACTGACAGCGATGAATAGAACATAGTGGTAAGATGGAAGCCCACAGGGGGCTTTACGGGGTATGAATCATGGAAAGAACACACTAGGCAGCATTTCCCTCGCTTGGTGCAGGTGACTGGTTCATGCATGGGGTGCTGCCCACCATGGTGAATGATGTGGGAAGGATCCTTGGATTAGAATCTGTGAATGAAAATCCCTCTTCCTCGGGATAACTGGTGCATTTCCCACTGGATACAGATTACACTCAATGAAGCCTTATTACTGCCAGCAGGGGTGAACTTCCTTGAAGGTAACCTGCATTCTGGCCACATCATCGAGTTCTGGACAAAGCCGAACCTGCAGACTCATTTATTTCTTCACTCTGCTGGGACTGAGCCAATGGCCTATTAATTGTTC